TGTGCTTTATGGAAAGTGATGCTTCCCTTCCTGGAATGCCCCGTGGAGTGAGGGGGCCCATTTCCAGAGGAGACAGTGGCCGAGTCAGCAGAGGATGCATGGAACACCAGAGGGGTCCCACCCTAAGGACTGGCTAGGGCAGCAGCCAACCCCTGTGTGGGGACAGTGGGTCAGGGACTGGGGTGGTGGGTCAGTTGGTGGCTGTGTTTTTAGGGATCTCACAGTGAGGTCTCACAGTGACCTTCAAGAGTCAGCTGGGCTGAGCTGTACTTTGACATAGGGTAAGAATCTACAAAAACGCAGAGGAAATATTAAGGAATGGATATTTCTCCATAAAATGAGTCACATTCTTCTCATTTCTTTTTTGTTCAGTTTTGGATCACACTCAGCTATGCTCAACACTTACTCCCAGCGATGCTGGGGATAGAAGCTGGTTCAGCTGTGTGGAAGGCACTTTCCCCCTCTATCTTCTGGAACTGTTATTTCTATTTTCTCTCAGTCTATGGAAGAACAGTGTGGATGGATGTGTGGAACTGCTGTCAGGCACTGAGAGCCGATGGTGACCTCAGGCTGAGAAGAAAATGCAGCGGCTGAAGCAGTTTTTTCACCTTAAAATCACTCTTGGTCACAGCCTCCTCAATACTGGTGGTCTCTGCTGGGCCTCTAAGAAGTAGTGAGCAGCTCACTTCCCACAGGGGCCTTTGGAAGACAGAGCTGAATTCCCAGACATCCCCACAAACAGGCGCAGGGGGAGCTTTCTTGTCACAGGGCCGGCAGAATTCACAGTGAGGAGACACAGGGGTGACCACAACAGATGAGCACAAACTGCCTCTGAGAGGTGGTGGTCAGGTCTAGGCTTGCTGACTAACAGGTGAGTCTCATGGAAGACACCTGGGTGTGGTCCCCAAGATCAGTGCCAAGCTTGAGGAGACACTGGGGGACAGCAGCACACTTTGGTCCAGCCTGCTGGCCAGTCTTCCTAGACAGTCACAGTGACATAGGTAGGGGTTTCCATGGCAGCAGCAGCTGCCAGCAAGAGTGTGTCCCAGGTCCCCTGCAGGCTTGATAACTGCCCTCATTCTCCCTTTTTTTGGTGCATCACTGCATTTGGAAGTTAAGGCTGGTACCAACAAAGTGGTTCTTGCTACACGGATTCAAGGCCAGCCCCCTCATTGGTCTGTAATATAGGGACGGTTCCCCTTCTTGCCATGAGGAAGGCTCGCCATAGCAAGTGGAATTCTTCTGTAAGGACAATTTTGTTTTTGTATCTTGTTCATTCAATGAGTTATATCACTATGGACCTAAGTATGTTCTATACTTTGAGTTAGAATCCAGTACTGTATTAATTTTGCTGCTGGAATTGTTCCTGCATTGGCCATTAGATGTTTTCAGGTGGGTGCCTGTGTTTCTTTGACCTGCCACAGTTATTTTGTTATTTTTTTGACCAGGTGAAACTTTTATTCTTATTCTATGGTATTTCTTCCTTTCACTTTTTTTTTTAAAACTTTTTAATTGAATCACTGAGATAAACCCTTACAAAGCTGTTCATGATTAGATTTCAGTCATACAGTGTTCCAATACCCATCCCTCCACCAGTGTACATTTCCCAGCCCCAGTGTCCCCAGGTTCCCTCCCATCACCTACCACCGTTCTGTTCTTTTGAGTGCTTGATTACTTTCTGGACCTCTCAGAGGCTCCAGCCTGACTTCATTATTTTTTCCTTTCTAGCCTTGGGACTTTAGTTCCTTGTATTGGAAAATGACATTCTTCTACTCTGTCCTCCTCCCTCTCTTCTTCCAAGGAACGCTCAGGAGCCCAGAAACCCCATGAGCAATTCTTGGCCAACCAGGTGGAAGTTCAATGCAAGAGCCCATTAGATGCTGGGGGCCTCAGGGCTGCACCCAGATGCCCAGGGGTCCATCAGTGCAGGAGGCAGAGCCTGGGTCAGGGGCATGCTAGGTGTGTGTGCCCTGAGCACAGTACTGACTCCCAGTCCCAGAAAAGGTACTTAGAAAAGAAGATCCAGCTGAAATAAATTTTGAGCTGGACTGAATTTTGCTTCAATTTGCTCAAACTATAATATACCCGGTGGGAATATGCAGTTGGAGGATGCAGTACCCACAAGAGGTGCTGAGCCTGCTTTGCCCTGGTGGACATGGTGGTTGTGGCCATTTCAGGCATCACTCCAGTAGCTTCCTTTGTTTCTGCAGTTATCTGCTGGCTCATCACCTGAAGACTTACAACTTCAGAGTGTGGGGGATGACTAAAGAGGTGGCTTAGGGCTCTTAGGGGTGGGGAAGTGGGATAGAACAGCTTCTCCCTCCGTGTGTGTGTGTGTGTACTGGAGGTCAAACCCAAAGCCTCACACCTGTGAAACCTGAATTCTATTGTTGAGCTAAATCCCTGGTTCTATGTTTAATTTTTTAAGAAGAATCTTTTGATCAGACTTCTGTAAAGTGATTAGACCATTTATTTTTCCCACCAGCACTAAATTAGTGGACTGTGTTTCTTTACATCCTCAACTGCACTTATTTTTTGTCTCTTTTTTCTATCACTATCACCCTGTTGTTCATTGATTCGCTCAAGTGGGCCCAGTAACATCTCCATTCATCCCGCACTGTTATCCCGCCCGCATGGCGGAGCCTGACAAACTACCCGTGGTGTGCTCGATATGTCAAATACAGTAACAATGAATGGTCCTCATTCCTCTGACACTGAAGGAGCCCCCAATATGTCATCGGGCTACACTTCCACTTGACAGGGATGAATGGAGATATTACTGGGCCCGCTCGAGTGAACTGAAGAACAACGGGGTGATAGTGATAGTGATAAAAAAAACATTCCATAGTTTTACTGGTGGGCATGAAATGATAATGTAATTTTGGTCTGAACTTGCATTTCTCTAATGACCATCCTTTCATATGCTAAGCCACTTAAATGTTTATCTTCTTTGCTATATATTTTTATACTTTTTGGGCTACACCTGGTGGTCACTCCTGGCTCTGGACTCCAGGGACCACCTGGTGCTAGGGATAAAGCCAGAACCTCTGGCAGGCAAAGCATTAGAGCATCCTGTTAAACTTATCTCTCTGGTTCCTCTACCATTGAGTTTTAAGTTTTATTTTTGAGTTTTGAGAATTCTTTAACCAAGATCTGGAAATAACTCGTGCTCAAGAATAGATGTCACTGTCACTGTCCTCCCGTTGTTCATCGATTTGCTCGAGTGGGCCCAGTAACGTCTCCATTGGAGACTTTGTTGTTACTGTGTTTGGCATTCCTCCGCCCCTCTCGGAGAGCCTGGCAAGCTACCGAGAGTATTTGATATGCCAAACAGAGTAATCGAATACATGTATGGAAAAAAAAATGTGGTATGTACACAAAACTGAACATTGCTCAGCAATAAGATGGAATCAAGTAGCTGCAACTAGCAGAGAGCGTGCTGAGTGGAGTCAGAGGGAGAGGGACGGATACAGAAAAATGTCTCATGTGTGAAATATAAAGAAATATAGTAAAGGGATAATAAGTGGCCAATGGCAAATAGGCCCTGAGAACTGGCCTACAGAATTGAGTTTACTAAAGGGGAGTGGGGAATGTAGGTGGGAAGGGGCTTGAAATGTTGGTCGAGGGACGCTGAAACTCTGGTGGTGAGTGTGGGGCTAGAACAACATAAAATTTTAACAGTATTATAAATCATGGTGTCTAATATTAAAAAAGAATTTAGTATTCTGGATAAAGCTTTTTCTTTCTTTTTTAAATATCATTTGAAAATATGTTCTCCCAGCATTAGTTTGTCTTTTTATTTTTTTTCTATTGTGTAAAAGTTGTACATTTTCATGAAGTACAACTACTTAAGAATTGTGTTTTTCGATTCTTATCTGGGAGCTTTGCCTCTAAACCAGCAGTGTTCGCATGCATAGCTTCAACCTCAGTACTCAGACCCATTTCCGTGGTTCTGGGTAGAATTTTTTTTTTCTTTTTGGGTTACACACAGTGATGCCCAGATGTTACTCCTGTCTTGGCACTCAGGAATTACTCCTGGCAGTGCTTGGGGACCATATGGAATGCGGGGGATTGAACCTGGGTCAGCTGTGTGCAAGGCAAATGCCCTACCTGCTGTACTATCGGCCCTTGGGTGGAATTCTTAATTCTGAATTATTCTTAGCTGTAAAAAGACTTGGTTTTGTATTTTGATATGGTAGCCTGTAGCTTTATTGAACTTACAAGATTCTTGCCTGCTAAGCTTCCTATTCCACAGGCTGCCCTCTGGTTCCATTCCCCGGTTGGGTTCTCAGCAATGTCACTTTCTCCTGTGTTGAAGAGTACAGATCTGATTTCGTTCTGTTTCCTGGGCTTCTAGCAAGCTACTCAGATTGGCTGAGGCCCTTGACTGCTCTGGTGGACTGGCTAACTTGAATACTAACCATTTTGAGAAAGGAATAAAAATTTTAGATTAAAAATTTTCTTGAGTCTAAAGTTCTGGGGGCTGGAGTGATAGTACAGGGGTAGGGCGTTTGCCTTGCACACAGCCAGCCCGGCTGAACCGGGTTCAATTCTTTCGCCCCTCTCGGAGAGCCTGGCAAGCTACCGAGAGTATTCAATATGCCAAACACAGTAACAAGAAGTCTCACAATGGAGACATTCCTGGCCTGCTTGAGCAAATTGATGAACAACGGGAGGACAGTGTTCCCAAAGTTCTGGAATACTTTTTTTTTTTTTTGCTTTTTTGGGTCACACCTGGCGATGCTCAGGGGTTACTCCTGGCTCATGCACTCAGGAATTACTCCTGGCGGTGCTCGGGGTACCATATGGTGATGCTGGGAATCGAACCTGGGTCGGCCATGTTGGCTGCGTGCAAGGCAAATGCCCTACCCGCTGTGCTATCGCTCCAGCCCCTGGAATACTTTTTATGTATCAGCGAATGTAATCATTTTGTTAAGAACACCTTTTTATTTATTTATTTTTAAATTTTTATTAGTGAAACACCATGAGGTACAGTTGGAGCCTTACAAATTTTTGTGCTTGGGAAGAACACCTTTTTAAAAGCAAAATGAGCTTTTTTCAAAGAATAATGACCAGACTTCCAAAGAGCGTTATTTTAGACTGACCTAACTCTTAATAATCTAGAATTAAGACTATGAGGCACAAATGTGAATTTCTCAGAAAGTTATTATTATTATTATTATTTGGCTTTTTGGGTCACACCCGGAGATGCACAGGGGTTACTCCTGGCTCATGCACTCAGGAATTACTCCTGGCAGTGCTCGGGGGACCATATGGGATGCTGGGAATCGAGCCTGGGTTGGCTGCATGCAAGGCAAATGCCCTGCCCTACCCACTGTACTATTGCTCCAGGCCTGAAAGTTATTATTTCTTGTAAAATGCTTAGTGATTGAATTCATTTAGAAAAAAATAAGTCGTCAATTTTCTTGAATATTTATCACATTAAGACTTCAAATTTTGTTTTCAAATAAAACAATACTACGTCTTATAGTAGAGATGTAGAGATTATCTTCATTGGAGTAATGGTTCTCCTCTATCTGAGAGAACTGCTGTACCATCAGAGACCAGGTTACAGGTGCTTAAAATATCAGATGAAGGTTTCTCTTGGCACAGAGCTGTCCAGACCGTCACTGTGGCCAGAATATTCACCAGAAATGGTGACTGCAAGTTAATCTTCTATCTTTGTGGATTATATCTGTGAAGCAAAAAAGAACAATCAGAATAAAATACCTACTTTTTTTTTTTAATCCAGAATACTGTGTCGCCCTCCCAATAGACAATACAGTTGTCCCTTATGTAGCAATACTGGCTTGGGTAGGATCCAGCCTCAAAGTCTGTCCACGAAATAGGCTTCTGTGGGTTTGATTCAATAGAAAAATCCTTTGTCTCCCCCATTCCTTGCCAGAATGACTGTGTTATCTCTGAGCGAAGTCACAAGCTCAGTTGTGAGATGTAGTCTGCAGGTACCCAAGTGACAAGGAACTGGCAGAACTCTCTTGAGAAACTGAGTCTGATAGTCTGTGAGGAGCTATCATGCCAAGAACCACAGAGTATGCGTGGAAGGGCCTCTTCCTCCAGGTGGGCCCGAAGATGGTACTGGCATCCGCTTAACTGCAACATCAGCCTCTGAGCTGAGGCTTCAGCGCACTGAGGCTGGCGCACATCATGGGTGGCTCACACGTGAACATGGGTCATTTTTTGGTTTTTGCACATCTGGTAGTCCTGAGGGCTTATTCCTGACTCTGTGCTCAGGGGTCACTCCTGGTGGGGCTCTGGGGACCACATGTGGTGCTCAGGATTGAACCTGAGTCAGCTACATGTAAGACAAGCACCCTACCTACTGAATTATTGCTCCAGCCCCATGAATGTGGTTTAATTAACACAAATTGCAGCACTGGTGTCAATGTGTTAACTCCTGACTCACAGAAACTAAAGAGAAACTTAAAATATTTGTTTTAGGGGTCAGAGATAAACAGTGGTAATGCATTTACATACTGCTGATCTGGATTCAATCCTGGCATACCACATGGTTTCCTGAACCTCACCAGGACTGATCCCTAGGCGCTGATGGGGATGGCCCCCAAAACAAATAAAAAAAGAAAACCCTCTTTAAGCCACTGTTTTAGAGTAACTTATTAAGATAATATGCTAAGCCATTATAACAAAAGCTAATTTGAACTGGATTTTCTGTTCTAATTTTTTTTTTTGAGGGGGGTTGTCTCCCAAGCAGTGCTCAGGTGTTCCCAGGGCCATTCCAGTAGTACTTGGTCAGTGCTCTGGGGACCGTGCAGTGCCAGGAATGTGCTCCATCCCTTTAAGCTCTCTCCCAGGCCCCAAATTTATTTTTTTTAATTTGCAACTGAAAGCAGTAATTTAATCTTGGAAATATTATTAGATGTTAAAATTTTAAGTTCAAAGAACATGTGGTGGGGCTGGAGTGATAGCACAGCGGGTAGGGCATTTGCCTTGCATGTGGCCGACCCGGGTTCGATTCCCGGCATCCCATATGGTCCCCTGAGCACCACCAAGGGTAATTCCTGAGTGCATGAGCCAGGAGTAACCCCTGAACAACGCCGGGTGTGACCCAAAAAGGAAAAAAAACCCCAAAACTTGTGGTTTACAAAAATCATGTAAAGAGAAAATCCATTCACCTCATAATCGTCTCCATTTTGCATAAGGAAAATTATATAACAAGGTCTTATTCAGAATTTCTTATGCTTATGCTATGAACAAAGTTTAGGCAAAGGATTACTTTAGATCTCCTATGCAAATAAATAAGTTCAAGACATCTATTGTTAGAGCATTCTTTTTTTTTCTTTTTGGGCCACACCTGTGATGCTCAGAGGTTACTCCCAGCTCAGCACTCAGGAATTACTCCTGGTGGTGCTCGGGGGAACACATGGGATGCTGGAAATCGAACCTGGTTTGGCCACATGCAAGGCAAACACTCTACCCGCTGTGCTATCGCTCCAGCCCCTGTTAAAGCATTCTTAAAACTACCATCTATTTACATTCATGTTCTAAATGTCTAACAGGAATGATTCTTAATTGGTGCCTGTTTATTAACATATGTCTGGAAGAACCTCTTATTAATCAGGAAAGAAATCTTTCAACCAATGGAGTTACAATGTAACAAACTGAGGAATATAATTAGTTCAATCCTTTGTACCTGAATAAAACAAACATTTCTCTCACTAAATTCTTAGGAGGTTCTTTGAGCTGATAAATAGCCAACATGAGTTGATTCCTTAAGTCAAAGACTTTGTTTTGTAGAATCCTCAGGGAGGCAGGGTTGTTTGAGAAGTCATAGGGATGAGCTGGGAATCAGTTAACAGTGCTGATTGCTTTTTCTGTTCTCTAGCAGGTTCTATAATGGGACACTTTTCTTTCTTGCCTCTCAAAATATCCTTCTTAAGTAGCCTTAGATATTTAAATATTTTCTTGAAAACTTTTCTTTCTCAAGGAAAATTCAAAATAATAAAAAAATAAATTTTTATATTACATTTATTATACAACATTAATAAATGTTATAGCTAATAAAATATTTACAAACTCTAATAATAAACTATGGAATGATATACATCCAATTCAAGATAAAAGAATAATTTCCTTTTTAATTATATACACAGCTTTTTTTGTTTTGGGGCCACACCCGGTGGTGCTCAGGGATACTCCTAGGTCTGCACTCAGGAATTACTTTTGGTGATGCTCAGGGGACCATATGGGATGCTGGGAATCAAATCTGAGTCTGCCACATACAAGACAAGTGCTCTATCCACTATGAATATTCACTGGTCCCTAATTATACACACAGCTTTGTGTTGTGTAGTTTTTATCACAAGCTTGTATAGCTTTATAATTAAATAATATAAAAGAGTCTCACTTGTAGTTTAGGATTAATTTCTTTAGCTATCACTTTAAATCAGTAGCTCTGTGAACACCTGAGAGAGCCTGTGTGGGAAGGAAGGGGAGGCAGAGATGCAGAGCTCAGATGAGGAAGGAAGTTCTGAGAGGTCTTGCCTCTGAGGCGCTCATGGCTGAGCTTCTGGGAGTCGGGTCAGAATTCAGATTTTAGCAAGGCAAATTCAGTTGCTCATGGTCACCTGAGATGGTTGAGGTGCTAGCCGGGGTGGGTGATTCCCTTAAAGACAGATGCAGGATGAGGATGTCCACAAAGGATCCTTAGAGCAGTGGGATTGAAGGATATTGATGCTTCTCAGGAAGAAATTGATCAGGTGGACATATGGGATGCCCCAGGTTTGAGAATGAAGATGACAGAGGCCAGCTTCCAGGACCACAAGAAACAGACTCCAGGAAGCCCTCAAAGGAGGAATACAGCAAGGAGGGGACACAAGAAACAAGAGGCAGCTGAAAACTAAGGGAGAAATCTGTGTTCTCACTTAGCCAGTGGCCTTGCCGTCTGTACTCACGCTTTCAAATTTTTTACTGTGAAATACAAATACAAACAGGCCAGAGATATGGCTGGAAAAAAAGTCCAGGAGTTAAGGCACTAACTTGCAAGTACTCAATTCCAGTTCCATCCCTAGCACCATATGTTCCTCGAGCACAGAGCCGGGAGTAGATGGTCCCCACCCCTGCCACTGGGTGTGACCCCAAAATATCCCAAATAGGCGACAAATGAAAAATAAACCAAAGTAAAATGTGGTCCAACTCACCACTCTGGTTAACAGCTGGTTTTAAATATGATGGTTAAACTTTCAAGGTCTTCATTTTTCAAATGTAATTCTTCAAGTAGGGTGTCTATAAACTGTGTAAACACCTTATTTTCTTGAGAATGCTTCTGAATGCCAAGAATTGGCGTCAATCTGAAACAAACAAAAAATACCAAATACATTTCCAAGAAATGTATAAGTCTAAGAGGGTCCTATCTGCAACATAACACAAGAGATTCTTTTTTTTTTTTGAGGGTCATGAAGAGAACTCTCATTAAAGATTAAATAAATTGCTAAGTACAGAAAGAAGCCTAAAATCCCGACTCTATAATAAAGGTAAAGGCCCTCCCGTTGATCGTCGATTTGCTCGAGCGGGCCCAGTAACGTCTCCATTGGAGACTTTGTTGTTACTGTGTCTGGCATATCCAATACTCTCGGTAGCTTGCCAGGCTCTCCGAGAGGGGCGGAGGAATCGAACTCGGGTCGGCCATGTTGGTTGCTTGTAAGGCGAACGCCCTACCCGCTGTGCTATCGCTCCAGCCCTGACTCTATAATATACTCATCCTATTAGTAAAAGCTATCAAACTCAAAAGCTCAGGAAAGAAATTCAATGAAGTAGTTCTACTTGAAGGAAGGAGAGTATGGAGGGAAGCTTAGACCTGAGAATTGCCTTAAATCAATTTGGACTAGAGAGATACTCCACAGGCAGAAGGCATTTGCCTTGCAGTGTAGTTGACCCCAGTTCAATCCCTGACACTGGGTATGATCTGAGAGTTCAGCCAGGGGTCACTGCCAAGCACACAGTCAGGAACAGACCTTGAACACTGGTGTGGCCTAAACCTTCTGATCTTCTGCTCTCCTTCCCCAGTTAACTTATTTAATTTTTGTTTGTTTTTGAGCTACACTCAAGTGATGCTCAGAGGCTCTGCGGTGCCAGGGATTAACCTGGACCTCCTACATGTAAAACATGTGCTACAGCCTGATAAGTTCTCTCAGGCCTTAATACATTAGTTTGTAAAGAATAAGTTTAGCTTACGGCAGCTGGAGAAAATACTACAAATAATGATTACTTGTTGCTGTTGTTATTGGGCCACACCCAGTGATGCTCAGGGCTTACTCCTGGCTCTGCACTTTGGAATTAATCCTGGTGGGGCTCAGGGACCATATGTGGTGCTGGGGATCAAACCCAGGTATAGTGTCTACAGTGCCTACCTGCTGTAATATTGCTTTGGGCCAGTTTTTTTTTCAGGAAGGTTTATTGAGAAACCATGATTTAAAAAGTTATTCATAATGGAGTTGTTTCATGCATACAATGTTCCAACATTACTCCCACCACCAATGTCATCTTCCCTCCACAAATGTCCCCAGGTCCCTTCCCACCCCCAGCCTACCCTCTTGACAGGCATACAGCGAATTTATTTCATTTTACTTGGTCTAATAAAACTTAAAGACATGTCAAACAAAATAATCAGAAAAATAAAAAAATAAATCAATAAAAGTCAATTTGTGATGATGAACTGCTCTACGTTTTTAACCTTTCTTAATCTGGGGACAACTATATACATAATTTTGTTTTAAACCATCAGAGAGCATGTATCACACAGGGTCTGTAAGTAACATTCCTGGAAAGCTTTGGGAAACAAATTCTTCTTTGTGTGTGTGAGGTGTGAGGGAAACGACTCCCAAGAGATGCTCAGGATGACCAGGGGGAGCTCTCTCAGCAGCAATTCCTAGCCTGCTAGGCTGGCAGATCAATGCTGTTCAGTAGCTGTACTCCTGGGACCTCCTACAAGACACCTGGATTGTACCTATTATATGGAGGGTCAATGTGGTGCCAAGGATCAAACTGGGGTGGCTGCATGCAAGGCGTGTGCCTTCATCCCTGTACTAGCTCCCTGGTGTAGGAAACAAGTTCCCTTTCCCTCAAAGAGTATACACTTCCAACAAAGCTCTTCCAGCTTTTCTCTGTTCTGGGGTCACACTCAGTGGTGCTCAGGGAGCCATGTGGTGCCAAGTATCAAACCTGCTTCCTGCATGCAGCATACATGCTCAATTTGCTGAGCTTTCTTTCTGGTCCTTGCCCCCAGATGTTTATTTAATTCACTGGACACAGCAAATATAAATAAAACAAATTCGGTTTAAATCAGTTAAGCTGAAAAAAAAATCAGCAGAGAAATTCTGCAGAACAAAATGTGGAATGGGAAATGTCACTTTTTGAAAGACAGATTTCTTTCTGAAACATCTCATACAGAAAGCAGAAGTAAGAGAAAACATTTGTCAGAGTTGTCCCAAATATGGTTGGGACTTCCAGAAGCAATGGTAAATTCTCTGTATCCCTAAGGTATCTTAGCAAGAACTGGTGATGCTCAGAGTCCAGTGAAATTCAGAGCTCTACCTGGGAGAATACTGTCTCTTCCCATCCCTGGATGGAGCACCGATTTTTACACGTCATGAGCTCTGTCTGCACATGTTTCCCAGAGGCACCTCACAGTGAAAAACAGGACTGACTCCCCAAGCCTCCCAATGCCGACTCCCAGCCTGGCACTTCGGTGAACACAGGCAGTAGGAATGGCGTGACCTGCACACAAGTTGAACCCAGAAGTCAATTGCAGCTTTTCCTACACTTAGGTCATGTCAGCACCACAAATAAAAAGTTGTTGCCTCTCCACAGTTAAGATAAGATGGATAACACGGGGTAAAATAGAACTAAGAAGAGCAGACGGAGCAGATAACGTTAACTTCAAATAAAACCAGCTTTTGTGTGTGTCTTTAAAGTGGAACTTACATGACACATCCAAAACAAGTTTTTTGACTTTTAAGAAGACTAGAACTGGGTTCATGTTAAAAAAGTTTTCTCAATTATTTTTTCCAAAGTGCCATTTGTATTTTTAAAAATATAACCCTGGGCCAAAGGAGGCAGTTCAAGTGGGCAGAGTTCCGAGCATGGCGAGGTTCTGACACCAGCACTACATTCTTTCTGCTCAGTGTCCAGTTTTGGCTGGGTGTGGACACTTAAATAAAAACAAATAAAACATTACAGTTATAACTGTGACTGTTATTAACCAGATTCTTCAACAACCTGTATACTCACATGACGAGAATGAGAGGAGTTCTAAGGGCTTCTAAGAAATTTGTTCTAGTGCTCAGGGCAAAGTGCCTGCCTTGCAAATGTTCAGGCAGTAATTCAGACCCTTGGTGATGGTACTGCCACCTGGGATACCCAGTGCCACATTGGATAGTACGATCCATGGTGTACCCCAGCCAATTATGTCAAGGACCACCAAGTGTGAGGTGGCAGGGAGATGGCTCTAAGGGCTGAAGCATATGCTTTGCGTTTGGGGGACCTGGGTTCTACCTCAAATACCACATGGGTATTTGAGCACCTTGCCAGGGGCAACCCCAATGCTTGGGGGCTAGAGTGATAGCACAGCGGTAGGGCATTTGCCAGGGGCAACTGTTAGGTGTGTCCCTCCCCAGCAAAGTGAGCCCTGGCAGGCACAACTCAGGCTTGTGTAAGCACTGTGATGAGGCACATGGGCAGGCAGAGCAGTCTAAGGCAAAAGTTGTGGTGAGCTCAATGATGAAAAGAGAAGGGAAACAAGTTACAAAAAGAGAAAAAAATAACAGGAAAAGGGAGAGAAATGAATTAATGAGAAACCAGCTATGACACAAAAAAAAAAACAGTAACAACTAGGCAACCCTGGACCATGTTCCTGAGCCCTGGCAAATGCTTCTGGCTCAAGCCAGAATACCCTTCTCCTTCCCTAGCCCATCTTTTTTTTTTTGGGGGGGGGAGCCCAAGTTCAGGAGTCTCAGGGGCCACCCCTGAAAATTCTCTGCTAACCAGTCTGGAGAGTTTAATGCAAGGGCTCGAGGATGTGGTGCTGGGGACAGGACCAACAGGGTCACACCCGATGGCACTTGGGGAACCATGTGGTGTCAGGAATCAAACTGTAAGGTAATCCTAGTACTATCTGTCTGGCCCACAAATTAGTTTTTTACGGAACTTGAAACTGCTTTTCAAATCCTCAAAAGAGGGCTCAGAGCAACCTCTCCAACTCGCTAAAACTTGTTCCTAAGCAGAAACATTCACTCCTGGTCTAACTGCAAGCCTAAATGTTCTCTCTTTCTGACATTGGCGTAAACCCAACTCTGCCAGGAATGTTGTGGTGTTGAGCAAGTTGAATTTCAAAGCCTTAGGATCCATCTATAAAAGGAGGCTAATAATACTTAGGTTCCTTAAATGTTATTCTTTCAAAATTCAAGTAGGATGCTACAAATAATAGTTTGAAAAAAATCAATGAGATGATGACATAATATGAACAGTAATCATGTCTCACCTACGATTACCTGCTATATCCATATTCTAGGCATGAATAACATCTTAACCATACACAAATGCTTGGGGGGCTAGAGTGATAGCACAGTGGTAGGGCATTTGCCTTGCACGTGGCTGACTTGGCTGACCTGGGTTCGATTCCTCCTTCCCTCTCGGAGAGCCCAGCAAGCTACCGAGAGTATTCTGCCCGCACGGCAGAGCCTGGCAAGCTCCCTGTGACGTATTCAATATGCCAAACACAATAACAAGTTTCATAATGGAGACATTACTGGGCCCGCTCGAGCAAATCGATGAACAATGGGAGGACAGTGCTACAGTGACAGTGCTACACAAATGCTTAGGGATAGAATACCACTCCCATTTTATGGATGGGGAAATGAAGGAACAAAAAAGGAAGACTGTTTTTGGCTAAGTCATTAGTTTTCATTCTGCGTTTAACCTTGGCTTGCTCGACTGCTTTCTGCTGAGCCCTCGGTAAACACGCTTAAGTTTTAGTTTGCTTTAGAGAACCAGAGAACAGCAAGCATAAAAACGGCAAGTGGCTGGCCGACAGACGGAAGTACTGATAGAGAAATCACAAATGGCCCGAAGTCTGTTTTGAGTCAGGAATAGCAGCTTGGGGGTCCTCAGGCAGATAGCAATCCACAAGCCTTCAGAGCCAGGATTTCCTGAGGACTCTTAACACTATTCTCTGGGCAAGTTGGCTAAAGACATTTCCTTTAGCTTTATTTATTCTGTTGTATTTCATCTTTAATTTTTTCCCCTTCCCCTACACTTTATTAAACACTGTGGTTTATAATCATCTTTAATTTTA